AGTGTTTTTATGGTACGCAAGTGTTGCTTGCCTTGGGAGAGGCCGTAAGGTAGGGATGCCGGGGGGAGTGCCAGTGTATTGGAAGACTACACAGGGCATGGAGAGCCTGGTGAATTCTCATCCTTGCTCCCTGAACTGAATGTTATTCCAGAACTGCACTTATTATCTCAGATGGAACTAGCAAGTTTACCCTGAAATGAAAGCCTGAGAATGAACTATCACATGTGGAATGGGGATGATGGAAGGCCAGATTCCAGGAGCCAAGTTATTTGCTGGTGTAGATGTACCAAATAGTAATTCACAAGTGACATTTCACCAATACTGAATCAAGTGGAATCATTACCCTCAGCATCTTACATTTAACACTGCTATTAATATGTCAGAATGTGATTTGCCTTGACTTTCAATGTTGACTTCCATTTAATTTCTTTTCCACTCTAACTGCCTGGATCTTTTCCCTTGCATTTGTGTTTACTCAGGTATTCACAATCTAGTACTGGTGAATATCATTTGCCCCTCCAAAGTGCATCACTTGACACAGATCTTATTGAATATTATCTTGCTGATTTCAGACTATATCTAAAGACGATTTGAATCATATTCCTGATTTCTAAACCATTTGTATGCCCTGTGTTGTTAATTAGTATCCTTCACAGATTTCATACATAATCACAGTTCATTTTGTCATTGAAGTCATTAATGAGAATGCTTAAAATTCTTAGAGGTAGAATATAATTCTATCATATGCTTATTTGTCCTACTTCGCCTTTAACCTCTACTCAGAGAGTCCCCAAGAGACACTTCAGTAGTTGCATCAGTATTTAATACTTGCATTCATATCTAATCTGGTTCACAAAATTATATTTAAGATACCAACTCGAACCTCTAATTGCTTATGTCCCAAAAGAGGGAGCAGTCTGTCACTTACTGAGCTCTTCATTATTGTGAATTAGCTGTTCTGTCAGTAATTTTGCATTCCAATTTAGAAAGCCGAGATCAAAAGTGGGCTAATGATATTTTTCTGTGATATATTTCTATTTTTCTCATGTTCTCTTTACAAGCACTATTAATTTACTCCGCTGTATTTGTAGAAATCCATGGGTTTATAGAAAACTGCCTTTGCAAGTTTTACTATATCAAGTGACTTACTTTTCACCTTAGTTCATTTGAACATAGCAGATATATTTACTATCAGTTACCGAGGCAGGCAACGCAGTATTGTTTTGTCTGGATCAGCATACTTTAATGGCCATGAAGTCTATTCAATATCTCTTACAGACTCTGGATTTAATGTATGATTTCTAGTTGACTAGGTGTCAGTGGCAACATTCTAAAAAAACTCAGTTACATGGAATTTTCCATTGATTTTCCCTATATTAGAAAATGAGATGTCAGATAATATTAATTGCATTTTCACAATAAGAAGCATACTGCAAAAGTAGATGCTAAGTGAAAGCACTTCCAGCCTAACATGTAATAGTATTCTTTTCAAATTAATCCAATATATAAGTAATTATTACAGTTACGTGCCTCTGTGGGTCATATTGATGTGAATGTAATTACAACCTATAATACAGAACCATTTTGCTGGCGTCTAGGCAAAAAAAAACATATTCAGGTGTGTTCTGCACTCAGTTATCCTTAGACAGTGTATTATCTGCATCCAGCAACACATAAGGTAGTTAGTTAACTCATTGTTTCTAGTTCTTGCCTACAACGACTACATTATCCCTGACATCAGTTTACGCTTAGACTGTTGTCCATAGCTCAAAGACAGAACTGCTAACTTGTGTTATCTTATAAGTATACACATTTACCCTGTCTATATGTCATTAGTAAGCAGCGTATGATCCGGAATAAAGTTCATCAAACTGTCACACACATATTCATTACTGTTAGTGGTCTCCAGTTTAAAGTACATTGATGCACCTTTCTTGCTTTCCTCTGTCTACACTGATGTAGTTGGGCCTTCACAATAACATGTTTTCTACAGATGTAGTACTACACATTTTCTTTCACATGACCACATTTATTATGCCAGAATTGACCACTGGTCTCTATAGGCCCAGGGAGATGATATTAGCAGTCTGGATGTGAAAATTCATTTGCATATGCACAATTTACTGTACTGCTTGAAGTCCTTATGCCTTTGCAGAGAAAGAAAAATCCAGGACCTTTCTAAAGTATGTGATGTAGCATTCAATTTCCCTGCACCTGATCGATAAGAGAGCAGGAAATTATATCTTTTGCCAAGGTAGACAAGCATAATTAAGCAAAAAGGCAATGGAGGTAGTTGTGATTATCTTAGGATGCACCTGGGAGCTGCCTTGTTGCTATTTTAAAACATCTTTATGCTAAGGGGACTGTATTAATTTCTGTCGAGAAGGATAATGTTGTCAGCTTGGAATGCTCATGAACAGCAGTTTCAGTTGTGCTTCACAGAGAGTAATGCGCTGTGTTCACCCCAAACAATTAGGCTTCTGCTTCAGCAGAAGCAAAGATGGAGCAGGCTGTAGGCATTTAATTGACAGTTCCAACCTGGAAAAAAAAAACACAAACAAAAACTTATGCTTTGGCTGGCTGCCAGTGAGTGCAGAACTTCTGTGTCTAACAGCTTAGAACAAAATATGTTGCCCCCAACACTTATCTTCCAGGGAAGACATCTCTGCATAATTAATGCTATTGCATCCACATTCTAAGTTATGCATTTTAATTATACCAATGGCCCAGTGAATAATTAATGCTAGCAAAACAATGCATCTGAAGGATAAGCTGAAAAGTAACACTTTTCAATGGGTGTTTTAGATTTAAATAACTAATGAAAGCTCTTTAACTATTTGATTGCAAGAATATTTCCCCCTGATGCATTCAAGTATTAACTACCATTGTTGAGCAGCCTCTCATGTGGAGAAATGTTAGCTTAGGCCACCTGTTTTCACAATTGGCCAATCTGAGTATACCACAATATACTAACTCCCCTTGAGCCATATGCATGCAGGGAAGAGATTTATTTGGATGTTTGCCCTGTGGGAAGGACTGATATGTCATTGGCACCATCTGTAAGATGTGAAATCAAAATTCTGCGCACAAAATTCCTCTTTGACCTCCTGTCTTCAAGCAGGTCAGTTCATTCAAGTTTCATGGGGAGATTTAGAATTGAATATAAAGAGATACAATACAGAATTCATTATCTCTGAGCTCAGCAATCTAAGAATTAAGGATGTAGGCCAGGATAGTAATTTAGAGTCTTGCAGTGGTCGATGGAGAGCAATAGCACCTCTGGAGAGTTTCATCTCATCCTAAAATAGGTTTTTGAAATAGATGGGATTAATAACCATTTGGCAGTGGCTATCATTTTTCTGTTTCTTACAGAGGAAGCTTAGGATACTGCCTTAGACCATACACCCAACTTCTAGACATTCTAATTTAGGTGAGGTTAATCTCACTAGCAATAGCAGCCTCTAAACTACCACGTGAGAAGGACACAATTACACTGACCTGGAAGTGTAAAAAGCAGGGTGGAGCAGAAGGACTCACACAGCCCACAGCTGTCCAAGGGTCAGTGTGTCACGTGGACAGCCAACACCCTGCTGCTTGGTCAGGTCTCAGACTTGTGACACTCACTGAGAGAGTCCTTCCCCCTCTGAAAGCCTCGAAACATGCATTCATGCTGATTTGCTGTGCTGAGAGACTTGCCTCTGCTCTGGTGTGGTCCCTGGCACAATGCTGGGCATCACGATGTGCTCGGAGCAGGGTGTCCCAGGCGTGCAGTATGTCTTGGGTTTGGTGTACTCTGAGCTTGCCATGCAAAGGGTGTTGAAAGCATGTAGACAGCACACAGCACTGACTGCTTAGCATGGAAAGACTAATGGTGGAAAGTCCTCATTTCTTTAGGTGACTAAAATGATGCAGCAAATTAATTTGCAATTCTTGGCAACACACACTCAAACAATATCAATTTGTCAATATAAACATAAAATGAATAGCTTTTAATAACTTTTTTGTTTTCCTTGTTAGAAGTTTGCTTTTTAAACTCTTATTTAAAACATTAAGGAAAGTGTCCTAATAATAACAATACAAAGAAGGGTCTATAAAATCAGCAAGCTTGGCAAAAGCTGCTGCTGATTTTTAATATCAGGCTCCTTATTTAAGTGCATTATTTGGATCTCAGTAACTTTTGGCTCCTATGTGTTGTTTTCTCTTTTATCTAATACTAGATATTGAAATCATAGACCACAGAGCACACATCTGAGTCACTAGGGAGACATGGAAAGCTACTATCTAGGAACTGATGATGTTTTCCCTGTTTTCAGCAGTATTTGCCTGAGCCTGCACATGAACTAATGCTCTTGTCAGTGGCGATGTAACTCTGTAACAGTTACATTCAGTTTGGGTGGACTGGATGGCATGTCCCCTCACACAGACGTGGGCAGGGGGCCAGGGTGTCACAGAAAAGGCTTCTGTTGAGGTGGCTCTGCTCCAGGGAAATCTCAGCTGTCCAAAGCCAACTGCTGTCTGGCCCTACTCAGTATTTCAGAGAAGGTAAAAAATAGAATACAAAAGAAAATCTGCCTTAGTATCAAGATTTAACCTGTTTTCTTTCTTCTGAGCAATAGCACCTGAAAGAGCAGACACACGGTGGTGGAAACTGGGAGTGCTGTAACAATTAACAGGCTAACTGTGGTGGCTTACATGTTTTCCCAGCTCAGCTCCTCTTCCCAGGAGCTAGGCAGCATCCTAATGGTGTTCATCTGCACCCCATTCCTCTCTACTTTTCTTACTGCATTATCTACAAGTGGCCAGAATAACTACTCAAGAAACAGAACTATTGTAGTAAATCAAATTTAAGACCAAAATTTGCTTCATGTGTATGGGATGGAGCCCAAGTGAGCTAGCAGTCCTAATCAGTTTAGTATTTTGAATGTGAATGACAACAATAACTGCTGAAGTATGAGCTCATAATCTCTAGCAAAGTATCTCCCTTTGCTTCTGCCTTTCAGGACTATGCTGAAAAGGAGAAAGCTGCAGCCAAGGCTCTGGAGGATGTGAAGGCTAACTTTTACTGTGAACTATGTGACAAGCAGTACCACAAACACCAAGAGTTTGACAACCACATCAATTCCTATGACCACGCTCACAAGCAGGTAAACCTGACAAATGTCCATGCATGTTACAGCAGTACATCTTCCTTTCTCATTGATTGTGGGAGGTTTCTAAGTTTGCTGAAGTAGAAGACAATTCATAATTCAATGTTTTCCGTTTTAACATGCTATTTTTCATTAAATTAAAATGTAAAACAGTCATTGTTCTAATCTTCACCATAATCTAAGTCCCTCTGACTGGAAGATCCCTGTCTGTAGTTTTAGATAGGTCCTCAATATCGATATTCACACAAGATTTGATATATTTGAAAATGGAATTATCTATAAACTGGAGAAAGAGGCAAGGATCACTTCCTCAAACATCCAGGTCCCTCTTTTGGATGCAGAAAGCATATGTTTCAAGCTGGTCATGCTGTTTCAAGGGCAGAAAAGCAGTTTATTTTTTAATAAGGCATGTTTCTGAACTTGAAATCTGTTGCATAATTTTTCTGAGGGTGGGATTTTATCTTGCATGCAGAACATAATATAAAATAACAGCTACTATTGGTCGACAAGATACTGGATTTCTGCAAAAAAAGAGAAGAGATCCTATTTGCTTTTGACTGGTTTGGCATCGATTTTATTACATCATATCATATATGTCTATATGTGGTGGGTATATTCTACCCATATATGCCCATTATCCTTCTATTCGGTATCCTAGTTTTCTTCCCAATTTTAACAAAATCCATATTTCAGTTGAAATTATGGAGGGAAAATGCAATTACTTCACATAAACACTTCAGAATTGAAAGAATATGGTTTATAAATTCAGGAATAAGTATTGTTTAACTTTCAGTGTCACAGATCTGCCAATCTAACATGTAAGAAGTTAAAACATGTAATTAGGTTCCATAGATGGATTGTTTCCTCCTGTGTTTCTACTATTGCTTAAATTACACAGTTCAAATTCTCATGTATTGTATGCATTCAAATTGCCAGGTTATTAGTGTCTTATGGCTGATCATACTTCTGGATGCATGAGGGTCATGAGCTTACCTTAGAATCATAGAATGTCTGGGCTGGAAGGGACCTCCAAAGGTCATCTAGACCAACCCCCCACCATAAGCAGCTTCATGGCAGCCTGATCTTGAATGTCCGCAGGGATGGAGCCTCCACCACCTCTCTGGGCAACCTATTCCAGTTGGCTATCACCCTCATACTGAAGAACTTTTTCCTAATGTTTAACCTAAATCTACCTTTTTCTAGCTTAAACTTTACAAATATGTGAATCATTTAAAAGTTTCAGGTATTTCTGACGGAAGACTAGAAATAATAAATGTTGAGTAAAGCAAACAGTGCTAAAGGCAAAACTCACTCACACTTCAAGTACTCACTGTCTTTTGCAGTATTATAGAGGATGTAAATTAGCCTAGCATTTTCTGTGTGCATCTATGACAGCACAGCATTAACAAACTGCCTTGTGTCATGCTGAACCATCCCGCTCAATTCAAGCAGCCCAGGGTCAGCTGTCCATGAGTATTAATGGTACTCTTTCAGCCCATCACTCCCAAACCAGGTCTAGATCCATCTAATGTATTTATTCATTAAATCAAAAGCAATTTCTCACATCAACATTCCATTAATTAATCCATAAAAAATGGTTATAATAATACGAAACAAAATCTTTTCCAGATTCTAAGCACATGACAGTAATCCCTATAAATCCCCATTTGCTGCACAAAGAGGTTTTTCTCACCCTTTGGCTTTTTTTTAACTCATCAGAAATGCATCTGAACTCAAATGAATCCATTTGTACCCTTCCCTCTTCACACACTCCCCCTGCTAAAAGCATCTGGTGCAAAATAAAACAGCTTGCTTGGTGCACCTTTATGATTGAGCTGTTGGACAGCGGTGGGTTTGGCAGCTTTCTGTTATAAAAGGGAATGTTTAAGCAATAAAACTATTTTTAATTTTTAGGTCAATTTAGTGCTTTTTAAATTTTTAGGTAAACTTAAAAGCTACCAGACATAGCACTGGGAACTAAGAGTCTGCACAACACATGCAGAATATCAAGTGGCAGTACAAGCTTATCCCATCCTGCCCTTTCAGATGTAGTTCAGAAGCTCAGTTAGTGCAGGATTAGCTAGCTACTCTCCCGATGTGACAGGGTAATTCAGTCTCTTCTCCTCTCCCCTTGACTGCTCAGCCAAGTCTGGGAACAGCATTAGTTTGCCTCAAGGAATAGTGTGGATGTGCCCTTTTCTCTGCCTTTTATAGTCAGTCACAGAAGAACCTTTATTCTTCTTCTATCAGAGAAATCTTCAAAGAAAACAAGTTAATTTATGGTTTCCTGTGGTTTTAGTTAGCTTAGTTTCAAAATGTTTGTTCTGGGAAGGATAGTAGCCACCAGAAAAGCTTCTTTCTCTTATTGTATGTTTTCTGTTTCCCAACATAAAGCTGGGGGTACCTTTAGTCATCTGCATGGATATGTTCTGAGTATCATCCTTTAAAAAGAGATTAAATTAAAATGAGGGGCTTTTTACACCTCAGTAACCATGTAGTGTAGTCTTTCCATGTGATTTCCAACTTAAGCGCTACTACTTTGAATTTTGTGTTAAAGTGGCAATGCTGTTGAGAGAAGATACAAAGGCAGGAAAAAAAAAAAGGATACTGCACCAAGTACTTTGCCATGAGTCTTTTGTTTCTCTTCCAGAACAAACATTTTATTCAACGAATTATTACTCCAATCTCCCAATATTATGGTTTTATAAAATTAATTTTGTGATTAATTTTCTTATCTGTGATTTCAATCAATTGGTAAACTGGAAAACACTGAGTCTTGGACCAAGCATTTGGCATACCAGCCATTGCCTTCCCTGTTCTCAGAGAAGTACACAATCTTATGATGACAATCTGGCCTTGCTTGCATAACTGGTCTTTCTGCTGTGTTAGATTTTTCTAAAGCAGCAAACTCAGAGAGAGTTTCTCTTTCTGCATGCTGTATACATTCATACCTACACACATAAAAATACTATACATGAATGTGTACATATATACACATATACCCATAAAAAGAAAACTGACAGAATGTCAAAGATCTCCCCTGCTTATATCTTCATTATCTTCTAACACTGAAATAACCTTGGAGGAGTCTAAACTGATATAAATCAGTTATAAATTACTTTTGAGTAATATTGCCTGAGTTATTAAGCATCTCTAATTTCTTTGATTGTCTTGATAGCATTAGTGTTAACATTGATGGCTTCTGATTAACTACTCTGTAATAGTTTTTCATTGATATTACCTGCTGCTGGAAATTAATTTCTTTCAGTGAAGGGGTAGATAAAGTAAATTTAAAAAATCTGAGTGGAAGGCTGCGCTCCCACCCAGCTTTACCTGAGCTCTCTGTTATTAAGCCTGATTCTTAACAAGGCTGGGGCAGGAGTCTTGGTGACTTTCCTTGGAACACTTAATCTTTCAGGGAGCACATAATCTTTCAGCACCGTACAGCCCTGTGCATACACCTCTCATTGGCCCAGCACATATCCGCTAACCTACTGGAAATCAACAGCTTTTTCCCTTTGTGTTTTTCCTTTGCTATGGAATCTATGACCTTATAAAGCCCTGGGCAGCAGGCATGGGCAGTAGCACATCTGATAATTCTGCAGTCTCTCTCATCAAGCATAAAGGTGAACAATGCTTGTTATCACTTGTTCGCTATGTTCTCTGCAACAAAAGTTAACTGCATCCAAACTGATTACCTTCAAAACTATCTGAACGCTGGAAAGGATGAGGATCCTGGTGTGAATTTGCTCAGAAGTGATTAGTACATAGATAATCAATAGGAAAATGTAATATATGTGGATATATGTTACATACTATGCTGAAAATAATATGGAAGTATAGATTTTTAACAAGGTTGTGCATCTATAAAAGGAAGCCAGACTTGAGCAGAGATGTCTATTTGGTTAATGTTATTAAATGAAATCTTTTTATACCTCCAAGTCATGCCTAGCATTTGTCCATTCTGCTAGTGTCAAAGTAGTTAGAGCTTTCAATTTCTGTATAAATAATCCTTAGCAATCAGCAAAGCTTTTAGATGTCAGCAAAGGAGAAAATCACAAATGTGCTCCATGTATTGCAATGTAATAACTCTGATTGTAATAATAATAGCAGAAATAAGCAGCAAAGAAAAATAAGGCTGTATTGCCATCTTGGGGTTTCTGATGACAAAACAGGTCTTTTAGTTTTGCTGTCAAAATTTAGCCATATGGTTAAATACAAAACTTTCTTACATATGGAAAAAAAGAATTATCTGAATTTTGGTGTTTTTGAAGCAAGCAGTGCTGTGTAAGTAGGTGAACAGAACTTTCAGCCTACACTAGCTCACATGCATGGACCTGTATCTTTGTATTTAAATGCATACATGCTAGCATTTGGATATATTTTCTGCATGAATGTTTGATTTAGTGTGCACAGCTGTGGGCACTTGCTGTTAAGCCTTTATAGTGCTTCTGGATGTATACTCTTAATTCAGGCAGAGATTTATCTCCTGTTACAAAGTTACGAAGTGTGGTTACATTTTAGCTAGTGTTGCCCCTACCGCTTAGAAAACACAGAGATAGGTGAACAGAGAACATTCCAGGAATGAGTCTAACACTGAGATTTTGTCCATTCATCTTTAGGGTATTTTTTCCATCATCTTCATGTTTATTGGAGGAAAAGTAAGTCTTCTATGTTGACTCTAAGATACACTTCTATTACCCAAACAATTTTCATGTGGAGGAAAGGAAGCTGGTTTGGAAATATCTGAGAGATTTCACATTGGGATCTGGGAAATGAGGCAAACACAGCAACACCAAGAAACCTTCTTCTGGACAAAGTATCATATATTTAGCTGTAGAACACACTAATGAAACAATAAGGGCTACACCAGCATGAAAGTCCACCACTATGTGTGCTTTCGTAGCTTCTGTTTTTTTTCCTTGATATCTAGGTGAACTCACTGTCCCTCTTGTACTTCCACGTGAACAAGTCTAATGTCCTTCCCTGTGGACCCT